AAATCATAGGATCCGTAACTTGTTATTAAATTTGCTACGGAAATTCTAATCACGATCCCAGTTTGCGTAATGCAGAGACAAATTATTGATGAAATTGATTCTCGAAATTATGTGGTTTTTTTTTCTACCAAATATATCCTAGATAGTAAATAATTTGATTAGAACCACTAGAGGTTAAAACTGTAATCAAGATCTTAAACGTTTAGCAAGGATAAAGTAGAGTGAAAATATGATAAATACCTATCAAGATTCTGGACAAGATAGGACAAAACTGATAGTTTATTATCATCATAATATTAGGAAGTTTCATATTTGAAAAAACGTAGAAAATTAGATAGAAAGAGAAAGAGAAACATACGTTAAATTGAAACGAATGAAATATAGAAAAATATAGAAAAAGAGAAAAAATGCAATGCAAAGCAATGAAAAAAAAAATCTTGTTGAGCTTAGAATGTAATAAGAATTAAAATTTTTTAAATAGAGATATTATTAATTATTTTGTTTTAGGTACAATTTTTAGCTGAATGAACTACAACTTCTGATTTATTTTTATATCAATAGGCATTTATTTTCAATAATATATATTATTTTTATTATAAATATATATATAATTGATTTAATTTTAATCATTTTTTAATCAACTTCGATGACGTTACGTAAGATTAATAATAAAAAAAATGGAATTGTACTGTCATTCACGACAAATGGCTGCGTACTTACACAATTATATGTGTAGACGATACAAATTGCAAAAAATTGTAAAAGAACTTCATACAAATAACGCTTACATGGCGACAGCAAAAGTTTTTAATAAGATATTTCTAAAATGCAAATCGCAAACGCAACAATAGCAATAGCACAATTAATCGATGTAATCTATTATCGATGTATCATTGAAAAACGTCAAACTGGAATAGCATAATGATATTAAAAAAGTCAGATCGAAGGCATTAATGAGTGGATTCTCCTTGATCTGAAATTTTTTTTTTGAATGCCCAGCGAACAATGTATGACCGGTATCTAAATTTATAACTTGCTCTTTATAGAATTCACAAAGAAATAAAACAAATAGATTATAAATTAAGAATGAAATAAAAGAATTCTTTTTTTCAGTTTTCAAAGCAGATCTTAGTGCTTAATAATATTCATACGTATATTTTACAAAAACTAATTACATTTTCAAATAATAATAGTAATACACGTTACTACAAATTATTTTCAGTTCTATAACTGCGTATCAATTCAGTTTGTCGGACTTGAAACACAATCATAAAGCGAAGCTGAAAAATAACATATCACAAATTACATTAAACACTTTAATAATGATGTTAATATATATAAACATGTTAAAATACTCCAAAGAATTTCCATCTATAATATAATTGATAGATAGATTAAATTATAATATAATTGATAGATAGATTATATCTCACATTAAATACGTTAATGATTTGGCAAAAACTCTTTCGCGATTTACCTTATACTATCGTTTCGCGCACGGAATCTACGTAATACTGCCACATAGTTGCAGTTTTAGAAAACGAATTCGAACGATCGCGAAGCGCATCAGGGAAACGGTCTCGTTTGCAACTCCGTGGACGAACGCGAGGTTTCCCTGCGAGCTCTGTTTATTTTACAAGGGGCGACGATAAGTCCTGCGAAATCGAATTCGTATGGTGCTGACGGGCATCCGCGCGTTTGAAGCATTTAACTCGAGGACCAGTCCCTCTTATTTGTTTAACTAAAATCCTCAGCGCCGTCCACTAGTCGCGCTTTCTCGAATTCTGGATCGATACGGCGAGAGCGACGAGCGATCGGCTCGCTAAAGTGGCGCGTGCGATGGACGAAAATCCACAGAGGAGAGACGAATGCCTTGTTGACACAAGTCGCATGAAAGATGCGCGCATTGTTGGCCGACGGTGGTATGCGCGACGTTCCTTTTGTGGACACTGAAACGCGAAACTTATGCGGCGCCCTGGACATCCAAATGGATCCCCGAAGTGTCAAAGCTCCTACACTTCCCGAGGATGCTTTTACGCCAATCCTTTTAAACTGTTCCACTTAAAGAATATCACTACAAACTGCTGACTGCTCTATCTCCACTTACTTCATGGACGATTAAATTCAAAAGTCTCGTTTTTAACTCTCCATTTACAACCATATTTTTACTTTCTCTATCTGTAATCTGGGTCTTTTTTGTTTAGCCCAAGTTTTCTCATTGCTTTAGACTTTTAAAAAAATGTGGAAAAATTCAGGGTTATTTTTCAACATCTCTATATTACGTTATCAAATAGTTGTTTGTTTAACTCAAATGTTAAAATCTTTAAATTAAAATTTGAGAAAAATGAACAAGAAACTTGAGAGTGAAATTCCGCTTATGCTAAAAAAAGATCCAGATCGCGGAAGAGTTAAGATACAATAGATAGATTTAGAATCCTTCTTCTCTGTTATGTCTAGAATCAAATGATTTGAGAAAGATCAATCTGAGAAAATCAATTTGCATCTTCATCTTTTACGAAGCCGTATCATTGCAATCTTTTCAAGAATTTCAGCAAACCCCTATCCTCCACAATTTGTTGGCTTATTTGTAGAAAGTTCCTACACGGTTTTGAAGAATAAAATCTAGTCCTCTTTCTCTCGTAGTACACTTGGAGACAGTTGTAAACTGAGAAATGCCGACGGGTTCTTCTTACCAATTAACAACAGTGCATTTTCGTCAACTTTGTAACGCGAGACCGACGCTCTCTCGTCGATCCCTAAATGGAGCTAAGATATCCATGGTCTTGTCGTTACAAGACCGATAAAAGCCTGGCGGACGTGACTCTTGGAAGGCGGAAGGAATAGCTCGTTAGGAGATAGGTTTTTATCCGAGTACAACATACAGCATACATCGTTCTCTCTTTCTTTTTCCTTCTCTTTCTCTCCGGAGTCGCTTCGTGTCGTGCTTCCGGCATTTATACACAAAACACAAGATTTTGATGAATATCTGATAACGTTAACTCTCGCGCGTGATTCTCCGACGTTCCTACAGATTTCACTCGCCATTTTTACAATCGGTGATTAAATAACAGGTGTAGATCGTACGTCTGATGTTGGTTTTCATGCCGACGATCGTCAGGGAGAACACGTCTTCTTTGAAAGTATAAGCGTCATATTCTATGAGAGACTACACACCGAGTCTCTCTGATAAATACAGACCCCTCGAAACTCATTTAACAGGCTGACAGAATGACTGTTTGCATTCGATAACTCGGTAACGTTTAGCAGACAGACTAACTGTCCAAGACATAATTCATCGAATGACTGAATTAATCAATATGTAGACGAAGTCCGCGAAGGCTTTTTGCTCATCTGACGAGCATGTAAATGTATGTAGATATATCAAACAAAATATTCCCTCCATTAACGAGGGTAAAATCGTTTCTCAAATTTCGAAAATGATTATTTCTGCGCTTATCTGCTACGATTGACATTTAATACAATATAATCACATTTTTGGATGTCCATATAGTTGTAGTGATGATTAAGGACTTTGCGAATAAAATCGTAATAAGGAAAAATT